GCTGAACCTGGAGGACAAAGATCTTGACTTAAAAACTACCACAGCCAAACACACCTTGTAATGAATATTAGGAAAAAAAAAGGCACTTTGGTCAGCTCTGTGCTAAGCCATTTTTCTGTGTGGTCTGGAGTCTTGTTTTCATAATTGGCATTCACTCTTTCATTAGAACTGACTCAGATGTGTGGAGGTGTCTACACACCTTCAATTGTGTAGGTCCACAAGGTATTTTTTTCTCTTGGTGTTTGTTATCCTCTGTGTTTCTGCTTCACCAAGTTCCACTTTTCTGTGCTTCTCCTTTTATTCTGGATATGTGTTTCAGGCTTTGTCAGTAGTACTGAAATATAAACTGTAGATTCATATATCTCTTTATAAAGCTCTGCATTCTGAAGCAGGCTTCTAGCGGTGGCTAGGAACTTCAGGGGCACAAATCCCATTGACCTCTGAAAATGTGCACCTACCTTGCTGGGCATTTGGGTCAAATACTACTTTAGCAGAGTGTCCTCGCAGTGCCACGCCATTCACCTGCCACCTAAATGGCCTCCTGACACTATAGATGTAGAGCACTAAACCAGTCGGGCATAAACCTCTCTGCCACTGCATATGTTTAGGGCTGGATTGTTTGTACAGTGTAGATGCCATCTTGCTTTCATGAGAAAATGCCAATTCTTTTCATCCCATGATTTATAAATTGAAAGTGGCAAGATTTTGCACATGCAGTTGCTGTGGTGTGCTAATTAATTAGATTTCCATCCGCAAAAGTTGTTCTTTATGCATTTCTTGGGCTATTTGTACAGGGACAGTAATGAACATGGTTTTCCAAAAAAATACAGTAGAGGTGACTGAAAGACAAATACCACTCATTCCATTAACAGGATTCTGTTAACACCCACAAGACACTTTTTTGGGGGATATTTTCATTATCTGCCATGTCTTCCCATTGGTCAGAATATATAAGTCTACTCAGAAGATGTATATGTAATTGTGAGAATTAAGCTGTTAGATATGAGACTGAGTAACTCTTTGTACTTCTTTTTGGTAGGGGCTTTGGATCCCAGAAGGGGAGAAGGTTAAAATTCCTGTCGCTATTAAAGAGTTGAGAGAAGCTACATCACCAAAAGCCAACAAGGAAATACTTGATGTAAGTTTTCATGTTTGTTTTGTCAAGTTGTGAGTAGTCTGTGGATTTTCCCCTGTAACAACTAACAGGATTTCAGGATTCTGGGTGCGAAGATATAGTTTGCACCTCAAATTGCATTCTCCATCTAGAAGTACTGGGCTTTGCAGTCTAGTCTGTGAAGTGCTTTTGTGTCTCCTTATGAACCTTTTGCTTGCAGTCCAAATACTGATGTGATACTTCTGGGGTAGCACCTAAGGAGCAGTCAGGACCATATATTTACAGCTAATTCTGTTTTCTTTATTCTGACATTTCAGGCCTTGAACTGCGGCGTTCGTTGCCATTATGGAAGTAGAACTAAAACCAATAACAACATAACAAGTGATTTTTGAATCTTGACATTGCAGATTGTCATAATCTAGTTGCTTGGTTACATAGGATTAAATTAGCTGTAAATGTAAAAGGAAAAAATATCCCAGCTGTCTGATTTCTCTGCCATGAACAGCAAGAAATGATCTCGGTTTCTGAAAGAGGCATGGGAGTTTTGTTCTCTTGCTTGGATATAGCTCATCACTTCAGAAAACAGCAAAAAAGTCTATGGGACACTGTTTCAAGAGCTTATAAATATGCAAGTTTACAATGGGTGAGCTAGAGTCCTAAATACAGAGTTCTCTGAACTTGGAAAAGCTAAAAATCTGAACTCTGTCGCTAGATCTGAAGCTATACAATATAAAGCACCAAGGATATATATTTATATACGAGGAAAGAAAAACGCTGAGTGCGGAGAGGAGCACTCGGATATTTGCTACACATTCAGTTCAGCTTTCCCGTGCTGTGGTTCAGACCTCAGCAGCAAGAAAGGGGGTGGTGGGGGGGGGATGTGTGTGGATGTGTGTGTGTCCTGTTCAGCCCTTCGAGCCCAGAGCTGGAGCCTGCTGGGTCACTTGGGAGGACTGATCAGCCCAGGGTCTCCAGGGACTCCCCAAGCAACACAGTGTGTTTGGTACAGGTGAAGTCTTTAAGCTTCTCCTTGCTATAGCCACATGAGTGTGCCTCTAGAAAGCATAGGTTGGAAGTCTGGATTTGGCAGGTGCTCATCTATCGAGTGCTTGTTTGCAGGGACAGGGCACACATCCCTGGTACGACCCAAATGGACCTGTGAAGTGCAGCTCCACAGCTTGGGACAGCCTGTTTGTGTGAAAGTGGTGGTCTTTCAGCCATGGGGTAAACTGGATTTTTAAAATTTTGGTAGGAACTGAACCACTTTACCTGGAAATTTATTTAAAAAAAAAAAAATCCAGCTTTGGACAGCAAATGACATCTCAGGTAGGAAGGCTCATCTCAAACGGTTCAAGCTGGTGAAGATCTTAACAAAAGGCCAAATCTCACAGTGAGAATTATCAGGATGAATGACTGTGGACAAACCTACCTGTGCTACTGATGATAATAAAAGCACACTGATTTTTCCAATCACCCTAAATAAACAGTGTTATTCCAATACATTACTTCAACAGATCATGTGCTATGTACCATATGATTTGATACATGTATTGGAGCAATGCAAAAGAATAGGTGATCCACCTCAAAATCCATACACAAAGCAAAATCCATCCTAATATTTTTTTTAGTTAGACTCCAGGCCAGTTTCAGCCCCTTCCCCAGGTCCCCGACCCCCGGGGCCCTGGTCCCTGCCCCTCACCTGCCTGCAGGCAGGCTGTGTCCCTCCCTTCGCTGGCCTTCCCCGCGTTGGGGGTCTGGCAAAGATGCTGCTCAGCTGCCTGCCCTGAGCTCTGCCCCTCGTTTCCCTCTTCACGGTGATAAGAAGCATAACACAGACTTTGCAAAAGGTGCTTTGGACTTAACTTAACATAAAATTCCTGTGTACTGAAGGAAGGGTGAACGAATAAGCCTACAGTACTGCAGTCTGCCTTCAGCAGATCAAGGTATCCACACGACGGAGCAGTAGGTGCAGGGACTGTGTGCTCTTCAGTAGTATCGAAGTACTTTCTCTTTTCAAAGAAGTTTATGTATCAAATCCCCACATTATCTTTTCCAATTGGATTAGGATGCTTAACAAAAAGCCGTTGCGTTTTTCAGTCCTGTTCATTATTCAGATGATTCGGTTGGTGGAATTAATTCTATATTTTGGAGCAAAATTTAAAAAATAGAAAACCAGTGAAAGAAGTCAGAGGGATGACTCCAAAAGCTCCTCCCAAAACAGATTTTTGCTACATAACCAACTTTTCAAGGTCACTGAAACCTCAGAGATAATAATGTCCAATTAAAGATGATTTGTCTTACAGAAACACACTAGGTATAGAACAAGCGCGGCAGCTTTAGCTCATATAATCCAGGCGAGCTCTCTCTGGCTTTATTAGGGTAGGGCTAATTCAGAAGATTGTTGTTGAATACCAAGCATACTTGGAGCAGGTCAGAGCGTACCGCAGAGATTTCCAAGATAAACAGTTGAAACAAAGGCCCACTTTAATGTCTTGGGCTACTTAGAGGGACCCACGACTGCACAATAGCTCCCTTCTGCTCCCTGCGAGGAGGCGGTGGCCTATTTTACTTTGCGGTATCAAATGTAACAGGCAGCGTCAACGCTTGGACGCTCTCCGAAAGCTGTGTGGCCCATACACCCACCCCCCTCTTTCGGCATCCCAGTTCTCAGCCCCCAGGTCAGCCCTGCGCGGGCTGCGCGGCAGATGGGCAGTGAGAACAGCTCCGACTCTGCAGATTTTTTCCCCCGGCTGCTGAAATGAATACAATATGGATCTGAATCCCAGCAGGAAGCAAGGCAAGGAACAGCCATCCTTCATTGGTATGATGGCTCCGTTTGGAAGCCTAGGGAGGTTTAGCATGTTTCGGTCTCTGCTTACACCTGAGCATCGTATCGCGGATTCGCAAGGTTATCTAAAAAACATTGGCACAAATATCTACATAATTGAGTAGCCCATTGTATTCTTGCTTTATCTTTCCTCGGGCCAGCCTACAGAATTGGCATTAGCCTTGACAGAGGGCTGTTTTTCAACGCCTTGCTCACATCCTGGAGTAGGTTGAGGAGCCTTTACCCAATTCTGACAGAGTTCATCTTTAACCTGTCTTCCTGCAGACCACTTTAATCCCAGAGGCTCCAAAACAAGGACACCAAATGCAGAATTAGCACCTCCGAAGAAAACTGCATTACATCACGTTTTGCTTAGGCTGGCACGTCAAACAGCAATACCAAGGCCAGAAAGTATTGCTTAAGTGTTGGGGTTGCTTATTTCTTGAACGTCATTGCTTTAATAACTTTGTTTAATAATAGTTCTTACCAGCTACACAGCTATGTGACATCTGTGGAAAGCTTATGAGATGATGAGTAAAGTGCTATGGTATTTCATTTCTTAAGCTCTTAGAAAGTGCAGATTTGCTCCTTTCCTTGCCACAATAGTGGCCTGACTTTTAGGCTTTGGGGGGCTAATGTTGAATTGCCAAAGGATGTTGGTGTTACTTCAGATGCTGAGTTAAGATGCTGACTTAAAACCTCACTGCATAGAAAAATTCCCATTTATTTCTCATTGTGTTCATTTTCAATCAAATGGCTTTAAAAATGTGTAGAAGTAAAATACTGTAAATCAGACACAAGGTTAATTTAAAAAATCCACAATTTGAGCTCTAATTTTTTTCCCCCTATTGGAGTCCATTCTCTGAGCTTGCACTTGACAGTGGATGTCAGTATAAATATCGATCTCAAATTCAAATCTGTAAGTAGTTTTTGCATGCAAAAACCGTGAAGTCAGGTTAAAGGATGTAAACAGTGTGTCTGGAGTGTACTGCACCAGCCTCTGAAGGGTTCTCTTCCTTCCTACAGAAGAGCAAAGGAAGAGGAGGTACCTTGGGTACCTTAGATAGGTACCTAAAGCTACATAGGGTGAACCCAGGCTTGAAAGAAGAGTTTTTCACATATTTATGAAACTTAAACACAAAATTCCAGTTGACCAAAGGGTTTATTATGCTTAGGCTCCCACATTGTAAGTACCTTCCTGGTATCATTTGCATTGCTATATGGATCTAAAACAGCTTTTCCAATTGGGGGTGATATTTTCACCAGTGTTGCTTAAAGACAGACATGGATTCACACTTCTAAAGAGGTGAACTGATTATTAACCTGTTTCGTTTGACACAGACTGCAGAACAACATGGTCAGAGAAGCCTTGTCTCTAAAAGTCAAACTGTCAGTCCCATCCTAGGTAACAACTTTTGACTTTCTGGGTTAGTACTAACCTTGACAGAGGAACAGAGGTCTCAAAAGCACTGATTTCCAGTCAGTTTTGTGAAAAGATCTGTGGAGGGAAAAAAGGTATATGACACATGTTCATAAGATGTGTTGCCCTTGCAATTAGGTGCTCAAAATGATGAAATCTCATTAGCTTCTAGTTGATGTTCAGTTTATTAATTCCTCCTATGTCTGTGTGTTTTCTCCCTAGGATTTTATGTCCCATGTTTTCTTGGTGTATCAGTAGTGGGAGACTGGCTCTTCTGTGGCATCTCAGTGATGCTTCAGTGTTCAAAATCTGAACCTTCCACCAAGTGGAAAAAACTTGGTCCACAGAGTGGGAAATACAAATATTTTGTATGTGACACAGGGCACAGAGTTTGCATATAGTATTTTACCAACATCTTGAATGACCAACTTGTTTTGTTTTATACTACCTCCAAACATTTCTGTCATGCCAAAGGGAGTGTTTCACATTGCTTTTTGTCCTTTCTTCTCAGGAAGCTTACGTGATGGCTAGTGTTGACAATCCTCATGTGTGCCGCTTGTTGGGAATCTGCCTCACCTCTACTGTTCAGCTCATCACGCAGCTGATGCCTTACGGTTGCCTCCTTGATTACATCCGAGAGCACAAGGACAACATCGGCTCCCAATACCTTCTCAACTGGTGTGTGCAGATTGCAAAGGTAAGCGGACCGGCATGCCATCAGATCCACTAAAACTCAGACTAACACGAAGATCTGACAGCGCGTAATGTGTTTACTTACTTACTTATTTTACCACATGGTTCCTAGATACCTTATACATGACAGTAAGCGGTTACTTTGTCTTAAACAATTTACCATTTTCAAGCTACCATGCAAAACTTAAGTATCCTTCAAAACGCTCCTAGACAGCGTAGTATTATCACCAAGGCATTTATGTCCAAACCAAACACCTTGTAATGCAACAATAATGTGATGCAACAAAGCTGGGTCAGGGAAGGGAGTAGAATTTGGCAATTGCCATACCAAAGTCCTGCTTCCATCAGTGGATTTCTTTGGGCTGTGCCACAGGGCAAATGGTGGTGCTGTCCTTGTGTGCCTTGGAGAATGACCCTGATTTTTCAGGCTGAAATCTCTGACACCTGAGGATCGAAACCGCTGATTAATAAATACCAGCTCCGTTGTAGTGCAGGCTGGCTGTGGCCAAAAGACATTCGGGCACCCCAGGGCTGTTCTGTAATTTATATGCACCAAGTTGGTGCCTGTAATCTAATTGCAGTGGCCATAGTGCCAATTAAAAGACTCATTATCATACCCGGCACTGTTTGCCAAAGAGCAGAGCAGCGAAGGAGACTAAGTACAGCCTCTAGCCCGTAGCAGCAATATGCTGTGTTTGGGAGGTGGTTAGCCATTTGCAAGCATGGAAGAGTGGAGCAAAACCAGCAAAAAAATAGCTGCAGTTCGTTGGAGTTTTGTCGTATGGGATGGCAGTATCCGCAAAGCCCGGCTGCTTTAACGCTGCTTATTTCGGGAATGACGGTCTGCAAGCTAACCACACACTTACAGCCGTATCGGTCCCTTGAGACCTTGTATACATCCCAGGCTCGCCTGGCCGTGGTTTGCTTTCAGGAAACATGCTGAGGACCTCAGAAATGTATCCACCAAAAGTATACAGAGCACATTTTTCATCTCAGTGTGTGTACTTTTTTTACAGCGTGCTCCACAGCAAGTGAATTTTAATTTATGCATCCACCTGGGATGTGAATTGCCTTTTTCTGACTCTTTTTCTCTGTTGTTTAAAATCAATTACTGCTCTGTCCTGGTTTCAGTCCCTTTGGAGGATGAGCTGGAGGCCACATTTCCCTCCTCCTCCTTCTCCTCCTCCTCCTTGTTAATTTTTAAGATGGCAAAATCAGTCCCCAAATTGATCCTTGGGGCATCACTTGCCCGAAAAGTTGCCATTCATAATTGTTAGCTTCTGTTTGATTTTTTTCGTGACGGTTCAACATTTCCCCATAGCAAACTCTACCCTCTCCAGTGCTGCCTGACCTTCAACGTACTCCTTTGTGCTGCTCCACACTGAAGTTCTCCTCAAAGTGCTCATAAATCACACGTATGGCTTTTTCCCACCAATGTGTCTGGTGTTACTACTCTGATAAAGTCATGCCAGATTTTTGGACATTCTCTGGCTCTTTAAAAACGTACTTTTGGCGGGGGGGGAAAAATTGAAACAAATATATTCGTCTGGTAACTAACCAGCAGGAGGCAAGTTGCCTCTGAAGCTTATTCTTGTTTCTGTTTTCACAGCTTTGAATTAAGTTTTCTTTGCATCTATAAACATTATCTTTCTCTGAGTTACGGAGTCCTGTCTTTTAAACAAGATGTTATGACAGAGCATAGACACTCCACATGCAGAAACACTGTGAAGTAACTCTTTGAACACATTGGCCTCACACTTAATGATGAAAAATGGCTTAAATCCCAGGCCTGCACACAATTATAGATCTGCTGAACTTTCTAGATGAGCAGTTCCACAACTTTGGTGTACAGTTATGCACGTGCACAAGTCTTTTAGCTATCAGCGTCTTAAACAGCTTAGTGTAAAACAGATATTCTGCCTTCCAGCAGCTTTGAGTCTTAATAAGTCCCTGCAGCAAGACATGTTTCTGAGGAAATTTTTCGTCCTAATGGGGCTCGATTATGTGATTGTATTTTTTTTTAAGATAGTCTGTTTTCTGTCAGCAGCTCAAGCTTTTTTGTTTCAAAAGCTCTGCTCGCGAAAGATCCAGTTGTGTAATTAAATGCACGCTCGTAGTGGCATTGCGCCAGTGTGTTTGGGTGGTTTGTTTTGGCAACAGTAGCAGCGCACGGGTGAAGTTGTGCTGAGGGACTTGGGTAGAAGATTCGATGGTGGTCCAGGTTAGCAGTGGGCTTAGGAAGGGGGTGGAGGCTGGAGGGGAATTACTCCCTCCAGTGCTCTGTCATCACATCAACATGATCATTTTGGCGTTAACTTTGTAGGTTAGAAGTACTTTTTTTATTATTTCTCTCTTCATAAAAATACAAGTGCATAAGCTGCCGCTAGCAGAAACCTATCGACTGGGAATAATTGTGGTTTTTAGAAAGGATCTTGCAGGAAACTTAGAAATCATGAACTTTTTAATTCCATACACCAAGAGACTGAAGTTGAGGGAAAGGGGAATAATCTCTGTGGTCAGAAATGCAGCTGTTTGTTAGATTCATACCTTAAAATTCAAGCCAGCACAATTAGTCGTATTCTTCCAGGAGAGGCAGTTGTACCAAAAAAGCACGTATGCTATGGCGAACCCAGTCTAATCATGGGAGGCAGTGAAACTGGAAGAACTTGCTTTTTCAAAGAGGACTTGAAAACAGATGCAACTCTGAGTTCAGCCATAAAATGATTTTTTTTTATTTTATTTCCTTTTCTCACCTTTGCAGTGGGATGCCTTATTGTTATCAGGGAGAGGGCAGAGTACGCTGTAATGAGAGCAGAATCAGCAACTTTAAACGATTAATTTATTTTTGTTTAGACTCTTTTCACAGGCCATTAGCATCTACATATTCTCTGTAGGGTTGGCCTGTGCGTGTATGGAAGGTGATAGTTAAATTCTGCACTGTGCTCTCCTGAAGTCACCGGGTTTGCACAAATGCAACTGAAAGAAGGGTTTGCCCCCTTCTTTGCAAGTACTATCCTAATTTTACATTTCTTGAACTAAATCCCAAAGGAACCACATCCCCTGCTATACCCACTACTGTCCCTTTTTTATCCGTGACTCCACTGGCACATGGACCCACAAAAAGGTTCCTGGAGGGTAATAGTTACTCCTCCTTGTAATTGTGCAAGCGCACATCCTCACCCTGCCACAAGCATCACGTAAATCAAAAACAGCAAATCTTTTTCTGAAGCGGGGATATGTTACCGCGAGTTTATGGTCGTGTGCGTAGTTACTCCAGAGCAGCTGGCACTTGGTAACTCACAGAATCACAGAATCATTAAGGTTGGAAAGGACCTTCAAGATCATCAAGTCCAACGATTAACCCAAAGCCACCATGTCCCCTAAACCATGTCCTGAAGTGACACATCCACACGTTTTTTGAACACTTCCAGAGATGGTGACAAAAACTCATTCGTGTGTCCAAGCCCAAAGCACGTGGTGCCGACCCATGGTCTGTCGTATTGCAGGGAATGAACTATTTGGAGGAGCGTCGCCTGGTGCACCGTGACCTTGCTGCCAGGAACGTCCTCGTTAAGACTCCTCAACATGTGAAAATCACGGACTTTGGGCTGGCAAAGCTGCTGGGCGCCGACGAGAAGGAGTATCACGCTGAGGGGGGCAAGGTAAAGCGCATCGGAGAAATGAACCGCTGCGCGTTCATCAGTGCTCGTGTTTGCGCACGAGCCTCAAACACAGGGGAAAAAGAGGGAGTGGGGTTTCAAAGGCTCAGCTGCCATCTCAGCACGCTGCCTTTGAAGCCTGTGGGAGTCCTCTGAAATCAGCTGAAGCAGCGTCAGGCCGGTGGGACTGCAGTGGGAGCGGAGGTAGCAGCGCAGCGAATGCTTTTGAAATTCCCACCCAGAATGTCTGGGAAAAAGCAAGATTATTTAAAAAACATTCAAAAAATAAAAGCATGGCTGAATTCATCAGTGTGGCCAACACCAGTAACACTGTGCCGTTTATGAAGAGAAAGGGAATGCTGTATATTTATAGCAGAAGAAAGACCTGTCAGACTTGGTTAAACACGCCTTCGTGTTGTACTACGTGCTGATGGAGGGAATGTGTCCTGCTGAGAAATTAAAGAGAAGCTGCTTGCAAATATTGCAGAGACTGTAAATGGAAACCATATGAGTGCAGATCAGTCTTTGTCATACAGCCCGAGATTGGATTTGTGTCCTGTTATGATAGGAGAAGGTTAAAAAAATAATAAATTTGACTGTTAAAAATATTGTAAAACTAATTTGTAAGACATATTTCTAATGTGCCTAATATTTCACAAGTTCCCAGGTTCAGCATAATAAATGAAAATAATAATAAGGGACTCAAAAGTTGCCTGCTCTACCACTCAGTTCACAGAATCACAGAATCGTGTTGTTTGATGGTTGGGTTTTTTCCCTTCTGCAACCGAACTATTGGTTCAAACACCACCTGGTGGTAAATATCGTTGATAAATTTTATGTCGGCCTCTTAAAGCTTATTTGTGAATTTTCCTAGGTTCCTATTAAATGGATGGCTTTGGAGTCAATTTTGCACCGGATTTACACTCATCAAAGTGACGTCTGGAGTTATGGTGAGTCTAAAACCAGTTATAATTATTGCAAATGGGTTGGAAAATTGAAGGATTTGCTAGTGGCTCTACTCAGAGCTTTTTTCTTTCTATTATGAGAAGACTGAGAGATTAAACATAAACATTGGACCCAAATCACCTATTCAATAAAGTAAATTTCCCATGAAATTGCATGCTAGTGAGGTATAAGATGTTTTGCAGAATGTGCTTTCAGATGATGAGCCCTCGCCTGGAAGGGGCTGCAGGTAGGAGACTCTGCTCCATTTGCTGAAGCTCTGCTGATGCTTTTCCTCAGCAACTTCATGTGAACTATAACGGGGCTGAGAAAAAAGCCACATAACTAGAGGGAGGACTTAAACACATCAGCCACACTGTCAGTGAGTCAATCGGTGTAACTGTGCTGTCCTGGTAATTGAGAGGACAATGCTAAAAGAGAAACAAAGCGATAACCTCCTTGGAGAATTCATTTTATATTTGGTATAGTTCATAAGCCAGCTTAAAAGAGAGAGGGGCAAAAAGGAAACTTTTCAAAGCAACTTATTCCAAAATTTCCACTCCATGAGCTCTTATATTCCTGGAAAATATTAAATGCAGATGGTCAGATCCTGTGTCCTTTTAGAAAAAGTACAGCCTTTGGTCCTCTTAATCCATTTATGTATCTTGGCATCCAGAATCTTGTTTTGTATCCTAAGCTACCAGACAATCACAACAACTACATCGCAAGAGTACGTGGTGTGTCGTCAAATGACACTGAGGCAGCTGGTTTATACTTCTTTCAAAAACTGCTCTTGCTCATCTCCAAAGAGATTGTTTTGAAACAAAAATACAAATTCTATTTTTAAAACCACTTGCTGGGTTGGAGTCAGGAGAAGGTAACCTGCATTTCCTTTCTGTGGGGCTGGGAAGTTTGTAGGATGTTCAACACTGAGATACTAGCTGAGATTAAGAAAGACCAAAAAATATCCAGAAAAACCCCAAAAGGAAATCAGGATGATTTCAACCTGATTTATTAATTTGTCTCTCTTCAAAGTCATGGCAGAAAATGCTTTTCCTGGGTGGGGCTCTGGCAGTGCAGTGCCTCTGGGAAAGCCCTCTCCAACTCACCAACTCTCTGCGCCCAGACCAAGCACCCCGGCTCCGTGCAAAGCCCCTCTCACGGCCTTCTCTTCCCACCCTGCAGGTGTGACAGTTTGGGAGCTGATGACATTTGGGTCCAAGCCATACGACGGGATCCCTGCCAGTGAAATCTCCTCTGTCTTGGAGAAGGGCGAGCGTTTGCCCCAGCCCCCCATCTGTACCATCGACGTGTACATGATCATGGTCAAATGTGAGTTCACATTTGGGGTTGTGGGTGCTCACCTAAGTCAAATAAGTAGCACAGTTGCCTTCATTATGTCACATTTATCTATGCTGTGTTCTTGGTGATCGCACAGAAATAGAGTTATGAAAAGAGCGGTGACACCAGAGTGTGTTCCACAGCTTGAGCTTTAGCTAAGACCACGGGTTATGGTTTCATTAGTCACTTATTCAGCCAACTAATGTTTTTTCACCATTCACATCACTGGCTGATATTGTCAAGTATTTTAAACTGATATTGTCAGGCAGTATTAATCAGCATAACACCACTCACTTTACCTGATAACTCTGGTTTTGTATGTCTAGAAAATGGAATTAACAATGCCTGTTCCTCCAGGCTCCCCCTTAGTTCAATAATATGCCTCCCCCTGCACTCACGGACGTGGATTATGTACTCCTTTCACTAAAGGAGTGCTGTGAGCACAGGCACCACCATAACGGCAGATGCACATGAGGGTCCAGACTTTGTTGTCCGATTTCTTCCTCGTTTTTGGATGGCTCCTTTTCGGCACACGGCTATTGCTGTAAAGTAGCACAGGAGCTGGGGGTCTGTGAAGCACTTTTTGGTCATTGTTAGGGCACATCAAAGGGCTTCTGAACCCCAAACCCCTTTTCCATCTACATCATCTGCTAAAATATCAGATTATTACCTGGCTTCCCGTGCATCTCTAGACCATGACTGCTGCATCCCTGCTCGCTAGCAGCAATGTCTGTGAGGATGCTGATAAGAAGCCCACTAGGTGGCATTTAAGACCTTCTCACTGGAGCAAAATGTACCTGTTCCTGAAATAGGAGCCACGCTACCATGAACACTCCATAGTGCAGCACTTTTGGGGAGTCCTGGAGTGCCCCAGTGTTGCTTTGTCAGGACAGGGAGAGCCCAATCCTGTGCTCACCAGAGCGAGCAGGAACCAGATCCAGATGTGTACACCTAGCCTGGGAGGTGCCCAGACCCAAAAACAGTGTCCTGGAAACTCCTCCTTGGTGATGCTGAACCCTACTAACACCTCAGCCCTGCCAACATCTCTGCGTGCAGCAGTCATGTCCCAGGTCTTCAAAAGCTCTCCACTAGAGCATGTCCTCAGGGGGTGAGCTCCATCCATCACCCTTCCTTTGGGTCAGTCCAGATGTAGAAAGCAGGCATTTTTTCAGGAGCCTCTTCCATTTAAAACACCACCAGTGGAGTGTCCCCATCTCGTTTCATACTGTTACACTGAATTTAAATGCAAGAGAATGAGGATCTGGGGTTTGAGCCTTTCTTCTGCCACAGAACTCGGTTGCACAGCTTTCACTGCTCTGATCACCCTGTGTTTGCAGGCTACAGCACAGACCCTGTTGAAGCCATGTCGTTTTGTCTAAAGGAATTCAGGATTCCCAGTCAAGTCTTTTATAAGCAGAGAGTATAAACTGAAATGTTCAAAGTTATTGCAAAACAATTTTTTTTTTATGTAAGAAGCAGTATTTAAACGTACGCAACTCAGAGATAAATTCAGAAATAATAGATGCTACTTCTGCCGCAGCAGCAAACTCCCAAATGCTCCTTTCTGTTAAAAAGCAAAAAGGATTTCTTCTTGAATTAGCAGGAGATCATATTTCTAGCATGGTAAAAAGTCACTGGCAATGATGAGATTTTTCTAATGCAGATTTCAGATGGCATATTATCACTTCATTCCTCCATTACTATGGATAGTCTGTTTCCTATGAGTTCCTCCAGGCACACTAAGCTTGACCTTTATTATTTTTAATTTTAAACACAAGAGTGTTCACACTTAAACAGTTTTAAACACATCAGCTCATCTGTTAGTTGATAACAGAAAGTGTGGGTTTCCTAAGTTATCTCACATATTGAGCCACCAGTATCTATATTAGAAATCTCTTCTAGCATTGATCCACACTAAGCTGTGAGACTTGTTTTTTTAAAAGTTTGTTTGCCAATTAAATGCAGCTTAGATATGGTTAATCTTTCAAAATGTCCCCAGTGAGGATGTTTTGAATTGTAGAAGACATCTGGTATAGAGGATGGCTTCTGCTTTAGGCTTCCCAGGATTTCGCGAAGCAGTGCAGTGAGGGCTAGACGGTCAAATCGCCGTACATCTGCAGGCACCCGCTGAAGTTAGTTTGCTTCCCCTCCTTCAAGAGCTTTTTCAGAACAGCCTAATTTGGACCAATCTAATCTAGGCTGGCCGCCCATTTGGTATCCTCAGGACTGATGCGTTATTATCACTTAAGTGGGACCTGCCTGCCCGAGCGGAGATAGGCCAGCAGGAGAGGAGACAGGCTCAGCCTGGAGCTTTTCCTACATGGAGTTTTATTACCTCCTTCATTCTTCCCAAAACTGCCAAGATGTGTGTATGAAATGCTGAAATTCACAGCAATGGCTGGTGAATGAGCTTTTTATGGTGGTCCCTTACGGGGAAATCCTTAACAGCATGTATGGTGCTCTTCTTTTCACTGTTACATTTTATTTTAAGCTCCGTGTTTGATCACCAAAACAACTTTATTTGTGTATTGTCATCCCTCCAGGCTGGATGATCGATGCAGATAGCCGTCCCAAGTTTCGTGAACTGATAGCGGAGTTCTCGAAAATGGCCCGTGACCCTCCACGCTATCTTGTTATACAGGTACTAAGCCCAATGGTGGGAAGATGTCTGATGCACATTTAATATGAGGCCCAAAATGATGAGTAATGCATGTGAAAACATATAATATGGATAATTTAAGGCCAGATTTAATGTTGCTTTCCAGATCTTAACACATTCAGCTAGAACCACAAACAGAATTTCAAGACCAGTCACTATTTTCTTAGTACTGGTTCCAGTCTAGGACCAGTAACAGTCCACACTGCAGTCCGGAGAGGAGAACAGAGTTTGATCCTCTTCAAAATGCAGTATTTTACATCAGCATAGGCAGAGATTGCAGGCCCAAAGTCCTCTAAACTCTAGCTAAATCTGGTTAAACACACAGATCAAGATTTTACATCTTGGACCTCTCACTAAACGACTTTGTCTCTCAGAGAAGGGGATAATGAGGGATTGAAGGGAGTCTGCGAGTCCTCTCTCACACCGACTTGTCTCACAGGGAGATGATAGGATGCACCTGCCCAGCCCTACAGACTCCAAGTTTTATCGCACCCTGATGGAGGAGGAGGACATGGAAGATATAGTGGATGCAGATGAATATCTTGTGCCACACCAGGGCTTCTTCAACAGCCCCTCAACATCCCGCACTCCTCTCTTGAGTTCATTGGTATGAAACTTTTCCTCTGTGGAAACATGACAAGCAACTTTACAAGTGAACTGCTCCTCATAATGTCTGTATTTTCTTTCTCTCTTTTTAAAAGAGTGCTACTAGCAACAATTCTGCTACAACCTGCATCGACAGAAACGGGGTAAGTGGGATGATCTTTAAAAAAGGAGCATTTCTCCTATATGGATCAATTTCTACAAAACAGTTCCTTTAATATTGATTTTCTCTAATTCAAACCTAGCAGGGACACCCTGTAAGGGAAGACAGCTTTGTCCAGAGATATAGCTCAGACCCAACGGGCGCTTTCTTGGAGGACAGCATAGACGACGGCTTCCTGCCAGCCCCGGGTGAGTACCTCTCCCGTGTTTCCATTCTACAGCCACTCATTCACAAGCCATTTGGGTGTGAATATAATCGTTGTCCTTCCTTTTCTGTAGAAAGGAAACAATCCAAATACTTCCTACCAGTTTTAGTTGATAAATGGGAGTGAAAATGTGTGCATATATCCTTTTCCTAGATTTTTTCTTGCTGCTTCTGGACTTCTCGCTTCAGTTCCTTCACCAGCCAGGTTCCTCATGTTTACCATGTGTGCCATCTGGCCGGGGAGTTTGCATGCGTGGTTATACGTTTAAAGCTTTCTACCACCCCTGCACTTCAGAAAATATCCTCTAAAAACCGGGTTTCACCCCTTCCACCATTTCAGCAATATAAACAGCATTCTGGCAGTTTCTCTGCTTTCAGATGTTGGTACATAGAAGGTTCCTCATGGTTTCACGTGGACTTACGGCATAGGTGGTCGGAGAGCGAGTCAGTGAGCACCGAGGGAGCTGGTGCTGCGTTGTGCAGCCTTGATGCTTTGTGTCCTTAAAAAAACCCAACCAGCACTTCCAAGAATATACCACAGCTGGAAGGGGGGAAAGATCCTGCAAGGGATGGCACTTAAGTGAGATGTGGAGTCTCTGTTTCTGCCAGTCCTGTATTTTCTAGGCACTTTCCTCATCTCTAAACATTTCTCTAGGGAAACAGCTTCTGGCAACAAAGCTCCCTGAGTGCAATTTCAGAACAGTATCTGGGACATAGCCACCCCCACGTCACTAAAATCAGCAGCAGCTCTCCTGCTGTCTCGTGGTCCAAGCCATCTTTCTGCTGCTTTGCAAACCAAATTCCTGAAGGTGAACTCCAGGGCAGCGCATTTGGTGCCACAGCATGGCAGTCCCTGCCTTTGGCTCTCTTCCGCTCTGGGAGGTTCAGCGAGATGCTGTGCGCGCAGAGCGAGCGGCAGCTGGCTTGAAACTACACCCCGGGTGATGCAAATGACTGCATTAGTTATATGTCTGCGTTATCATTCCTTCTTATTTTTATTTTCTTTTTATTCCAGAGTATGTAAACCAGTTGGTGCCCAAGAAAACATCTGCCTCAGTGGTCCAGAATCCAATCTACAACAACTTCTCACTCACAGCAAACTCAAAGGTCCCCACGGACTCCAGCTACCAGAATTCACACAGCACAGCTGTGGACAACCCCGAGTATCTCAACACCAACCAGTCGCCGCTGGCCAAGACAGTCTTCGAGAGCTCTCCTTACTGGATCCAGGCGGGAAACCACCAAATAAATCTGGACAATCCTGACTACCAGCAGGACTTCTTACCGAAGGAAACCAAACCTAATGGTCTCTTGAAAGTTCCCGCAGCAGAGAACCCGGAGTACTTGAGGGTAGCAGCACCAAAAAGTGAATACATTGAAGCCTCAGCATGACCACAGAGAATTTCTTCTTGCAGCAAGGCAAGCCAGACTCTCCGTGAACCACCTGGCTGCTGCAAGAACAGACTCTTGCTCGCAGCGAACGGTGACTGCAATGCATCAATAAGCACACCTTTCCTTCTCAGCATGGGGGCTGAAACTGCAAAGCCTATCTTGATGGTAGTTTGGGTCTTTTCTTGCCCATTTCCACGTAATAACGGAGGCCCATAGCCTGCACTTGGATGCATGTTGGGATGGAGCGGGATCTTCCTGGACAGAAGAAATATGGATGCATTCCTTTCACTTTCAAATGGTAGCATGGTAGGAAGCCACTCTGGGATGAACTTGAGAGCTGTACACATTGTACAGTCAAATTCCTTTCTACAGTCTGTATTTTTATAAATGTTTCTAACAATTTTTAAATCTTTTACAAGATCAGATGCTTGTACTGCTGGTCTGCTATGTGGTGCTAAGATCACCAGCAGGGGAAAAAAAAAAAAAAGTTACTACATAGTTTTCCAAAACTCCTGGAACAGAAACAGTTATTCCAAACCACCGGATTTTTACAAATTGGCTCCATATACTGCTTCTTGGCACAAAGAGGAGAAGTGCATCTGGGGGACATATGGGAGATTCTGCCCAGAGCAGTATGGAGTGGATCACTCCGGGGAAAACTAGCACAAGGAGCAAAACTCATCACCTACTGACCACTACTGCTAAAAACTGACAGGAGGAACTCACCTCAAAGTCATTTGTACATGGTTATAAAGTGCTCACTAGTCTGCTTTCTTATGGTCAAACACAAGACATTTTTTTCTGATCCCTTATGCAGCTGTCGAGTTGTCAAAATGCCTTTCTTCTTCAACAAAACTGTTAAAGATGTTGCCCTAACTGAAAAATGAAGTGTCAAATAATGTTTAACAGACTTTAATTAAATGTCAAGGAAATGCAAATGGTGGCAAATGGGAGCATTCATGAGACAGACTGGAAGAACTATACTAAATTAAACTTGACTAGGGCAAGAAACACAGGTAGCTCTAGCCAAGCAGTTTTATTTCCCTTCTTAAAGGGACTCAGAGCAGAAATCATTTTCCCTTAAACATTTGGCAAAGAAAAGGGGTGTATCAGTGTTACATTCTGCTCACTTCAAGGCAGAATACTGGCAATTTCTGTACCACGCTGGGGCAGAGGCTGGGGCTGGTTGCCTGACCCTTTGGGGCCACATACCCTGGCAGTGCAGGAGGGGCAGTGAGAATGAATTAAGGAAAGGAAGAATATTCTGGAGTGATAGAAAATATTATCTCCCTCTTCTGAAACACAGGACTGCCTAGTGCTGCTTTAAAATACCCAGGATAACCTTCTGTTATCAGTGTGGAATAGTCAGACTAGGCAAGGCTGGGATTTTAGCTTCATAGTATAAATCAGTCACAGCAGCAAAAGCGGGGCCCGTGATACTGAACTTCAGATTCTTCCATCATTAACATTTCTTATGAATGTAGGAGTAAAATGCCTAAAGTGTGAATTTAGTAAGAAATCTAGATGCATCCCACCAGCAGCTTGGCACTGCTATTTTAATCAAACCGCTAGATCAAAAAGCAAACGCACATTTGGGGATTTTGGTACAAAGGCCCTTAACTAGTTGAACACTGGCAACTTGCTTGAGTTGCAGAGGATATGTAGTCTATACCAAGTAGCAAGAAATAGTCAAATTTATGCCACCGCTGTGTTTTGAATATATCAGTACATGTTTCAGTTTAAGTATTGCATCTGGAGTCCAGGATCAAGCAGCAAATCCTCTGAACATTGTTTTTACATATTTGTTGAGGAATGAAGGAGAAGAATGGTCATGTGAGATGACCCCTTTTATAAGTAACATGGTGTAAAATGCATTAGCAGCTTGTGTGTGTGCACTAGTTCATCAGGCATGCTGCAGTCTAGGGTAGAGCAGTATATTGGGTCAAAACCCAAAGATTGTCCTGTTCGGTACATCTGTGTCACCATGACCAAGTCCCAGGCACAGTGGTATGGAGGATGCAATGTTTGACTTTGATTATTGCTGGCTTGTATTTAAAACACTAACCAAAATTCAGTTCCCACGTCCAATTAGTGGCAGATTTCTGCTTGCATTCCTGAGAGCAGATTTTTTGTGTTGCTCTCACAAGCGTGCAACATGTACGCACAGGCAGCGCTGCTTTTCTCCACCCACCGCCCCAGGAAGAATGTACATAAAACCAGAAAAAGATCTTAACAGAAATCACAGATAATTTTCAATTTGCTAAATCTGTTATGTCTCCAAGCAGAACATTAGAAAATCACATAGTGCACGTTCTCCTGCAGAATCTTTCCGACACTATTGCACAAAAGAATTTGTTTATGTTTTGGGTTAATCTGTTAGCTAAAACAAGAAAGTGACTAATAAGTAGCCATATGTATCACCAGCCTTATGTAGCATGAACATTATTTAATAGAGGTTAATATGCTTGCCCATAACACTTTAGAAGGGATTCAGTAGCGACTCATTGCTAGAAACAGGGAGATTCATCTAAAAATTAAGCAATGTAAGTTTGAAAGAGCATCATTTTTTGAATTTGTTGGTTTTGAGGAGAAAAGTAGAAAAGGGGATGTAGGACCACAAACTCTCAATACAAATGTACAGATTCCAGATTGGTGGGATCAGCTATATTGTGAAGTAGTTCCGGTAAATAGGCATCCTGTAAGCCATGATTTGTAAATCGGCAGCTCAGTAGTGATTCAAAAGCCAGAAAAAAATAAAAACTGAGCAGTGTGCTGTGGGCTGTGGGCTGTGCCTGCAGGGGCAGACACAGCGGCAACGGGAGCGGATGGGGCTGCGTGGCTGTCGCTGGAGGCACGGGTGCTACATGGGGTGATGCTCGTAGTGCAACAGACGTTAGCAGTGTACCAAATGATTTCCACTGAGATGAAAAAAAAAAATAAAAATCAAGAAGCAGCTGAAATGGTCTGGTTTTCCCTCTGCAGCTCACTGACCCTGTAACAGCAAGGAGCCCCGTGCAGATCGTAGGTTCTTGCAAAGGCAAACACAGTTAGACAGCATTTCATGGGACCTTGCTGATGCAGTGTTGCATGGAGCTTAGGCTACTGAATGGGACGTAAAAATTGTATTTTTACGAATATTAGAAAAAAAATACACTGCATCTTGAGAGCTTACATAAATCAGCATCCAAAAATAACTTGAAAGTTCTGCCATTGTCTCTCAGGAGGTGTGGGTAAAAAATGCTGATTTTTAAAAAGCAACTGAATAGGGAAATGTAGCAGGCCACAGCCACTTTTAAAAGCCAATGGAGTCTTGCCAATCAAGAAAATAAAAATTTCCCTTTTTACTTTATTTCTTATGGAAGGCAAAATAAAACCACTCACAAGTTAGCGGTTAGCATCTCTTAATGATAAAGCAGCAGCTAATATGGAACTGCTTTTGCAATAATAATTTAAGAGTTTTAATAACTGCTATGTATACAAAAATGTAAGTTAAGAGTCTTCATCTTGCTTTGATGTTTTCCAGTGATCTGTGTACAGCGTCAATGCATTTGACTTCATTTGGGCCTTGGGTGGTTTTCTGCTGCTGCAAAGGGAGTTGGCTTGGGAAGTTTCCTTCATGTTGCAATAGGTCTTGTTGGGTAAATTCATCCGAGAGGCCAGGGGCTTGCTTTTGTGTCACGCTGGCAGGCAACAATGCAGTGAGTTTTCTAGAGAGACCAGCCAGAAATAGATGGTGGTTTCTGGAACACCTCAGGGTGATGCCCTGTCCCACCAGCGTCACTGTCAGATGGCCATATGAAGCCCCAGCATTAGAAAATACAGTCGCATGGTTTATTTGAAAGGAAGGAGCTTGTGTAGGGAGGGTAATGCCAGGGAAGGGGTGCAGCCGGCCAATCCATACCTGAGACAGCTGCCGAATTTGCCCAGGGGCATTGCTGAGTCCATCACTGTTCCTGCAGGTATGGGTGGGAATAGACACATGGCTCCTGTCCCTGCTACCAGCTTGAAGAGAAGCTCCCTTGTAGATGTATGCGGCATTCGTACTATGGGGTCAATCTCTTCCCTTGGGAGACACAGTTAGGGCTACAATAATGTCACAGGACTCCAAACAGCTTAAAGAGGACCCATCACAAGGTGCCTGGGATGTCCTCAGTCTGTCTGGGGGTGCTCCAGAGAGGGTGGTGAGGAGAAACTTTGCATTTCCAGACGGGCACTCATTTTTCAGATTCAGAGTTCAACATCTTCTGTTACTACAACCGCTGCCTCTCCAAAGGAGCAGTTCTGGTACTCTGGCTTTTGTTTCCCACTGCGTTTCTCTGTGAGAAAACATCTGAATCAGGACAAAGTATGAAAATGTACCTATGTCCTCCTTCCTGATGGAAACCGTATACTCATGGAATGTCAAACTGTGTATAACACTTAGCAAGAATGCTTTGTAATATTTTATCACCACTGGTTCAAATTTTTATATTGGGATCCCACTTTCTAGCTTTCTTTTTGTAAATGTTATCTCTTTGTTCTGACATACAACTTTTAAGGAGCCTTTTTAAAATAAATTTAAAAAAAAAAAAGAAAAAAGTTTATACAAAAGAAGAACACAACACCTTCAAGTAGCTTGTCAAATGGGCTGCATTAGGACCAAAGATGTAACGTCTTGTTTTCTTGCTTTAAAGGAATAGGGTATTGATCACCACTTCCACAGCCTCTCATTACAGGGAAAAGCTACAAATCTCCACTCCTCACTGGGGCTGGGCCTGACCTCCACTGAGCCAGGAGGGCTTGACAGGAGGGCGAGGCCTGTCAATAGAAAAACAAACCAAATATCAGGACCAGGTGTCACTTCAGGGCCAAACCTACAACCTCTACTCCATTTCGGTTCGTTTACTACTCAAGACAATAGCTAAACAGGGACATAGTCAAGAAAAAAAAGAAACATGCATGATGTTTTGTCTCAGTATCAGGAAAAAATACAACGATGTGAAGATGAGACATGATGAGAT